CCCCCCCGCTGAGCCCTGCCGCGCTCGCTGCACCAGTGATGCTCGAGGGTGAGGATGCAGGACAGGGGGTTTCAGGGGTAACGCCTCATTTCTCCACACCCCGGAACACCCAGAATGCGGATTTTAGGGTATTTCACCTTATTTTGCAGCTCTGATTATTATTGGGACACCCCCTCCCCTGCCCACCCTGAGCCCTGCTGCGCTCGCTGCACCAGTGACGCTCGAGGGTGGGGGACCAGGATGGGGAATTTGGGGGCCAACACCTCATTTTTCCAACCCTCCCGCTTCTAACCCCTGGCACGCACTGAGTTGGGGCGTCCTCAGCCCCCCCCCAGATCCCTCCAACCACCGCTTCTCCTTCCCCAAATCCCAATTTACCCCCCCAAACGCTACCTTGGCAACTCTCTCCCACTTTCTCGTAGCCGGCCCGGCACAGGCACTCCCCGATGGGCACCAACCACTCGCCGTCGGCGTTGCAGTGCAGGACGGGAGCTTGGTCGGCCACCGCCTCCTCCACGCAGGTCCCCCGTACCTCGGCCAAGGTCTGCGAGTCGACACCGGCCACCGTTTCGGGAAAGCGAGCCATACCCCGTAAAACAGCCGGGCATCTCTTGTAGTAAATCCGAACGGAAAGCAACGCCACGCAAGCTCCCAAATCCTGGAAAGCCAAGTAGAAACCTTTCCGACTGAGAGGTCCCACCGACCGCACCTCAACGTTGAGTTTAACGTTGCGGGAAGCGAAATCATCCTGGACGGTGATTTCATCCGGAGCGATGGTATCGATCTTCTTGAATTGTCTCTTCTGGAAGTTGGTGCCGTAATCCACGTCGGATTCGGCGTAGTAGAGGTTGAAGGTCTCCTTGCAGGAACCGCCGCCGGCAGTGGGGAAACTGTTGCAGTCGCGGACAGTGAATTGGAGTTCGATGAAGACGCGTTGGGCCACCCCGCGGTAGATCCAGTTGGTGCGGAGCCAGTTCTCCTGCTCGCCCTCCAGCACTTTGCACACCGAGTAGATGTAGATCAAGGAGTCGTTCAGAACGTACTGCAGCAGGTCCCACTGTCCCCCCGGAGAGAAACGGAGGCCATGGAGGGGACACCGAGGCAGGGTGGGTGGTGCCCCTCGTCCCCGGGGATGCGCTTGTCCTCAGCCCCATGGATGGCCCTGTCTCCATCCCCGTGGGTGTTCCTGTCCCCGTGGAGGTCTCCAACCCCATCCCAATGGAGGTCGCCATCCCAATGAACGTCCCCGTCGCCATCCCCACGGATGTCCCCATCCCAGTGAAGGTCCCCAAACCCATGGATGTCCCCATCGCCATCCCCATGGAGGTCCCGATGACCAGGGATATTCCCAAACCCATCCCTGTGGATGTCCCCATCCCCATGGAAGTCCCCATGCCCAGGGATATTCCCAGCCCCACCCCCATGGATGTCCCCGTCCCCATCCCCATCCAGGTCCCCTTCCCCACTGATGCCCTTGTCCCCATCCCCATGGAAGTCACTATCCCTATCCCCATCCCCATCCCCATGGAGGTCCCCATGGACGTCCGTGTCCCGGTGTGGGCTCTCGGGGTGGTGCTGGACACCCGGGTCCCCTGGTGCTCACCCCTTTGCCGTAGGGCTGGGCGAGCCAGCCCAGCTCCCCCTGCGCCTTGGCAAAGTCCAGCAGAACCACTGTGGGGAGAGGAGAGGGGCGTTAGGAGGGTGGGGGCAAAGCCTGGGAGATGCCACCAGGACCCACGGATGGCTCCGTGCAGATGCCAGCAATACACCCAGGTGCTTCTTGCACCTCTGGATGTTCCTGGGACCCGCAGGCGTCCCCCAGGACCCACAGATGCTCTCAGGATCCATGGATGTCTCTGGGATCCATGGATGTCCCCCAGGATCCATAGATGTTCCCAGCACCCACAGATGTCCCTGGGACCTACAGATGCCTCTGGGACCCATGGATGTCCCCAAGGACCCACAGATGTTCCCAGCACCCACAGATGTCCCCGGGACCTACAGATGCCTCTGGGACCCATGGATGCCTGTGGGACCCATGGATGTCCCCAGCACCCACAGATGTTCCCAGCACCCACAGATGTCCCTGGGACCCACAGATGTCCCCCTGGACCCATAGATGCCTTCAGCACCCACAGATGTCCCCCAGGACACAGATACCACTGAGATCCACAAGTGCCCCTGGGACCTATAGACATTCCTGGGAGCTATGGATGTCCCTGCGACCCACAGATACCCCCGGTCCCATCAGATTCCCTTGGGACCCCCATGAGAAGACCCTCAGGGACCGCCCCCCC